CCAAACCCTCCCTGCCCTGGCAGGAGGAGGAGGAGGGTGCCCCCCATCAGCATCCCCACACTGGAGGCTCCCTGCCAGATTTGGGGGCACCGGGGCTGGAGGTGTCTCTGCAGTGTCCTGTACCAGCTCCCATCCCTGTCCCGCTTGCCCTAGACATCCTGCGGCGCTTGTCCGTCTGTCCATGTTCAGGACCACGCAAGCTGCAGGAGGGAGGCAAGACGTGAGCAGAGGTCTCCTGAGACCTGCACCACCCCGCAGCACCCCAGAGTGCGAGCACAGCCCCGGCAGGAGAGCACCGACCCCTGGGACCAAGGGGGTGGCCCTGTATCCCCCAAAGCAGGTGCCACCCCGAGCTGAGCACTTCTGGGGGTGTTCCGACTTTGTGTAGGTCCTACTGCAACACGGGCCGAGTCCCTGTTTGCAGCTGTGTTTACCTCTGTGCCTGCATGGGCAGAAATTCCTGCAATTCCCTGTTCAACCCCTTTCCCAGCCTTTAGGCATCCTTCAGGGGCTCGGTCCCCTGGGATCAACCTGTGTGCCCTCCCGCCCCACTCTGCCCTTGAACTTGAACCCCGCCAGGTCATCCCTGGGAACGCTCCTCTTTTTGTGGTTTTATGTGATTTTTTTTCTCCAATGTAGCTCACAAGCAGCTGAATCGCTCTTTTAAGGTTGATGGATGATACATAATGTGTATGTGTGTATGTATCTATACATAGATACATGTGTTTTGTTTTTAATTTCCAGCATAATTCCTAGGACATTTGCAGGGGTTTTTTAATCCATCCTTGGATGTGGCTGCCCACAGTGTTGTCTTTTTTTTTTTCTAAAAAAGAAGGATTTGGGGTTTTCCTTGTGAAAAATCCCCCTGTGAGACTGAGGCCCGGGCAGGATCTGGCCCCAAGGGGGTCTGCGGAGCCCCTGTACCTCCCAGCTGGTTTTGTGGTGAGTTAATGCCTATTTTTTAGCAAAATGGGTGTGGTCGGAGCCGCCCTTGGAGAGGGCACAGCACCTTGACGGTGAGTGCTCTGCACCCCACAAACCCTGGGGGGGACCCTCCTGCTGCTCCCTCCAGCACCAGGGGTCCGGCATGGGGATGGGTCCGGTCAAATCCCCGCCCCCCCCGCCATCCCCAAGCATCTCTGCCTGCAGTGCCCCTGGCTGTGTTTATGTGTAGGACCTACCTAAAGTGCCGGTATCAAATTTATTTATTTTTGAAGTTTTTTATTATTGTTGTTGTACGAAGACCCACGTTTGGGGGGGGGAGGGGGGCGGAATCGCTAACGCCCCCGTCGAGTTTCTCAGGTCTTGAGCCTCCCTGAGCGCTTGCAAAACCACTGAGCCTGATCCTGCACCCAGCCCAGGAGGGCTGGGAACAGGGCTGCCCCCAGCACCGCCCTTCATGGGGAGAGGAGTGGGTTGGGGGCATGCCGGGAGGGTTTGAAAGAGGATTTGCATGTGTCTGGCTGCATCTGCTCATACCTGTGTCCCAAGCGAGCCGATGGGCCGGGTTGCAGCTGTGCTGGAAGCCACGGCCCCCCCAGCCCAGCCAGGGTGCATGGGGAGCACACAGCCGTATTTAGCAATCCCAAAGGCGAGAGCCAGGAGCCAAGATGACTTTTTTTCCCCATATCCCCTATTTTGTAACGACCAGCAACGCCACGGGGATGCTATTTTGTACTAAGATAGTCGCCTATTTTTGAAATAAATGCGATGACTGGTTGGCTTGTGGGGTTTTCTTCCTTTTTGAAGCTGTTTCTCGGGTGAGCTTCAGCATCGTCATGGCAGGATCCCTCCCTTGGAGGCATTTGGGGTTGGGTGAGAATATTTCCCCAAGCCTTCCCCCCTGCCTGCCTGGCCCCCCAGCGAGTGGCACGGCACAGCCCCGGTTGCACTAGGGATGGAGATCGCTTTTATTTAGTCACTCGAGTGCTTTAGTACAGAACAGATATACAGAGATGATACATGTTTGTGCTTCAACACTTCCAAACATTTAGATTCCAGTAATTTCAAGGTAAACAAGTTCCAAGACAGACTAGATTATTTTTTTTTAAGTTTTCCTTTTCGATAAATTATTTTTTATATAAATAACTGTAACAGAAAAAAAAATAATAATGTCCAACATACAAGATCCTGAAGCATTTGCATTGCTAAACCGAGAAGGAACTCAAACGGGGCGGGAGGACTGGGGAGGAACCAACAAATATCAGTGCAATGATACAGCCTTTGCCCTAAAAATATATATTTAACTTTATGGGCAAGGAACATACGGGGAGGGAAGAAGGGGGCTAACCACCAACGAGGCAAGAAAGAGCGATTTGGGGGAAGGAAAAGGGCGTCACAGCCTTCAGAGGGAGAGAACGAAACGATGGACCCCAAAATATTGCAGTGCATCTAATGGCAGGGGAGGGCGGGGGCAATCCTTGGGTGTAAAAATTAAAAAAAAACCAAACCAACAAAACCCAACAAAAATCAGAGGTTTGGTTAAATCACTATACACCAAGCTTGTAAGAACGTCACGAGACACAGTCATTAATATACACAGAGTCCAGAGAGGGGGCCCGGAGGGTGGGGGGGGCCTCAGGGCGACGGCACGCTCAGAAATGCTTCACCACAGGACAACACGAGTGGAGC